GTTTACAATTTGTAAATGATGTAATAGATAAAAATGGGATTTTTATTTCATTTGAATTGTTACAGCAATGTTATGATATCAATGTAATTTTTTTGAATTACATGAGTGTTATTTCTGCTATTAAAAAGCAGCAGATAATTACAAAAAAGATTCACATAAGTTATGTTGTCAATTTATTCCAGCTTGCTTACAATTCTTTTTTAAAAGTAGAAAAGGTTCTAAAGATATGTATAAAATACTCATTAGTAACAATGTGACTCCAAAAGGACAACTGAAGTGGGGTGAAATATTAGGCGAAGATCTCATTTGGAAACATATATTCAAACTACCTTTTACAGTCACTGTCAATACTAAACTACAGTGGCTACAGTACAGAATCAACCACAGAATTCTTGCCACAAATAAATTTGTATGTAAAATCAAACTTATTGATAAACCTTTATGTACTTTTTGTAAATTAGAAGATGAAACTGTTGAACATATTTTGTAGAATTGTGAGATTATCCAAAATTTTTACAAGATATTGATTATTGGTTTTTATCTGGTGGGGTAAGCCTGCCATTTAATAAGTTAAATTTTATTTTTGGAGATATATCAAAAGTTTGAAAAGGTGACCCATATGTTTTGATTTTTCTTTACATGAAACAATATATATACAACAGTAGATGTTTTTCAAAAGATCTTTCACTCAGTGCCATTAAAGAAAAGCTAAAATATATGTACAATTTAGAAAAAATAATGGCAGACAAAAATAAAAGACAACAGCACTTTGATACCATGTGGAATGCATTTAAAGAATTAGTTTTATAATTCAATTGGTCATTTTTTTTTACAGATACTTATAGTCAAAACTAACATAATATATTATTTTATCTAATAGCACAATTTGTTATGTACTGAAATCTTACAGGATATTTTTAACCTCTTCCTTTTTTATAAAATACTTTACCCGTCTCATGTGCCAAACAGTGGTACATAAACATTTAACTCAGATTATCTTTTCTTCCGTATTTATGTTCTCGTTTCATATAAATATAAAAATGAATTTTCAACAATGTTTTTTTTGTTATAAATAAATATATATTCAAAAGTATTGCTAATATTACTGTATGTATGTTTGATGTGTTGTATTTGTTGTAATTCTTGAAAATAATCAAAAGAAAAAATAAGAAAAAAAATTACATATTGTAAATTAAATTGTTTATTGTTAATGGCCATATGCTGACCTTAATAATTCTTTGATAATTTTGGGTTTCCTTCGTATTTATATGCTTATAAAGAATAATTATATCAACTATACTGTTTTGATGTTAATCTAACAGGGATGTCAAAACTGGATCAAATAAGAGCCGAATATATTCATGATTCCGCGAGATTTCTCATATTTCATCACCGCTGCTTTTAAATCAGGTTTAGGCGTAACAAATTATCATAATGTTCCAGTAATATCATTCTAAATATTAAGGTATAATTTGCATATAAAACCATTTTTGTTTTTTGTAGGAAGATGATTGATAGTTTGTCTCTTTATCTTAAGATAATTGTATACAGATTACTTAAAGAGGGTACTATAAAAGGTCGTATTATAATACCATGAAGATGGTGTGGAACATATAGACAAATCAAATGGTCAATTTAGGCTAATTAATAGTCAGATGAGTCGATTTAAACATATTATATTAAAATTACATTAAATGTCACTATTGAATGTATGTAATTTCTCCTAAGCTTGCGTTACTTATTGGGCTTCATTAGAGACATTTGGCATTTTGAAAATAAAAAGTACTTTATTTATTTTATTTTTAGATATTACGTAAAGGTACCATATGTTAAAAAAATGTCGACTTCTGCTTGCATTCTCAATCAAAAAGTTCAAATTTTATTCAATATTGTACAACATTGTACAGTATTTCCAAATCAGTGAAATTAAGTCGTAAAGTAAAAATAGCGTTGCAGGCTGTCGCTTCGGGACTGTTCTGTCAAATGAATTGTAAAATAATTACGATTATTATGTGCCTTCTTTTGTTTTCCTTTGAGCAAATATACATTGCTGTGAATTTTCCCTTGTAAAACCCGAGAAAGCGTCTAAAAGACACTGTCACTTGGACAATTAAACGGGATAGATCAAGCTACAATGAACCAATTTGCAAATTAAAAATTACTGCAAAATTGCGATTGTTGATATTGATAACCGTTTTTTTGATCAGTTGAGTTTTTCAAATGTTGGTTTTAATTTTACATTTCAATTGATAAAATTAAAATTGTACATGCCTTTCTATAAGGAAACTTTTCCTTTTTTTAGTTGTAGAAGAGAAGCTAAAAAAATAACAAAGGGACATTTAAACTAAGTCAAAAATAAACTGACAATGCCATGGCTAAAAAAGAAGAAGACAAACAGACAAACAACAGTACACGAAGCACAACATAGAACACTAAAGACTGAGCAACGCAAACCCAACCAAAAACTAGGGGTTATCTCAGGTGCTCCCAGATTTTCTCAAATATTTCTGAAAGCAAAACTGGGGGCGGAGGATTTGTTTCTAACATTCATTTGAATGGGAGTATGCATAAATAAGACAGCGAACAAACCGCACCAACAATGACTTGAATTGAATGTATACTTCAATGAATTTTAAAAAAGGGGAAATAAAGGAATATTTCTTTTGGTTTTTTTTTAATTTCATGGGTACTATTATTGAAAAGGTACATCAGTCTCATTTTATCTGCAAATAAATTTACCTTCCATTACTTTCAAATAATTAAACTCAATTCAGACGTCTATCAAAACTAACTACTCTTTTATGGTGTTATATAGTATACAAATGACCATAGTTCAACAGGTTTTCTTGATTTTCACCGAAGAACTGTTGCTGTTACATAACATGCACCCAATTACAAACAATTTTATGGTGAACTGTGTTCTCAACGATTCATCAACTTCTATTCATTTTAAAATCAACAGTTTATTTTCCGACCTCTTACTTTTTAAAAGTATTTTTGAAGATACAGGTATTAATGAGAAATATATTTTTCAAGCATGATGAACATTTTTTTCACATCGGTATTCATCAAAATTTTATACGGGATACAAAAATATAAAATTTGCAGAAAATGAAAATATAAAATTTGCGGAAAATGAAAAAGTTTAACAAGTCAGGAGAATCTATAAACTTATTTCACTGCACAGCTTTAGACCATCAAGTAACTATTATTCAACAAAAAAGAGTATATTGGTTAAAGCTACATGAATACTGCATACAAATTCAATCCATTTTGTATTCACTTACTATCTCTTTTTCTTGACCTTTGACCTTTTGATTATATAAAAAGTCTCATTCAATTTCAGGCATTGGAGAAATATTTACAACCAATGAAAACCTGTTTCAATAATTCGTGTTATATGCAAATAAACAAATGTACCAAATGAGATTTTATTTTATACCAACATTTGGACTATCAGTCCCCGAGGGTATCATCAGCTCAGTGGTCAGTACTTCGGTATTAACATGATTTATAACAAACCTTTCTAAAATTGTCTGTTTATAAATTTATAAATGATTTCAAGTCACTAAGATAAAGTTGACATCAGATGAATGAGGCTATTATTTTGAGGTTCTTTTTGCTCATACAGCTCTTCAACTGTTTTAGCTCTTATACATCCTTGGCTTTCAGATATCCGGTTTAGAACATTCCCGGTGTTTTTAGTTTTAAAGCCCCACTTTTACTTTCAGTTCACAGATATACGTTCTGTCCAGTAGTAATCAAATTGACTATCGTAAAGTAGAATACTATTCACAATAGACGTAAATCCTGAGTTTCCATGCAAGTGTATAAAAAAGTATAGATTTACATTCACCTCGCATACCATCTATTTCATATAGAATATGAAATTCACAATTTGTTATCCCGATTTAGTTAACTAAATTAGAATTTGCTCAGTGTTGATGGCCGTACGGTCCCCTGTAATTGTAAGTTGACATTTTTTGTCCTTTGCTTTGTGGTGGAGAATTCTCTCATTGCTAATCATACAACGTCTTCTTAGTTCTGTATAGAATATGAAATTCAAGATATATGATCTTCCATAAAGCATCACATGTAATATAAGGACCCTCTCCCCAGAAGACAAAACATGCGTCAAGACCTAAACATGATAAGTCTGATGTATGACAAAGTGAGCGTATATCTCCATATTAAACAAAGACACTTGAAAATAATCCAATACGTGATTGCGACCGTAAAACATCAAGGTGTTGATTGTAGATTTTTCTCCATAAAAAAAAAACCAAAGGAAAACAACAGTTTGGAGGGCTGAACAGGGGTTCCCTTATTCCCACTTCCCTACTTCCAAGTCCCACTTCCCTCACTCATATTCCCGCTTCCCTCCTCCTTACCCCCAGACGAACATTTATCAAAAAACGTTTTCTCAGAATATCCCTCTTTTATTCCCCCTCTTCCCCCGGATCCTACTACCCTCCTCCTGACTCCGGCTTCCCGCCCCCTCATTTCCACGTTCTTTTAACCCTTTTACCCTCTCAGTATGATCGCATGATCATGCGTATGATAATTGATTCTTGAATAATAATCCTTTTGTCAACCATGCTTTTATTGCTTTAACAGGTACATGATTATAATGAAAAAACTGGGTGTTTTGGGGGGAGAGGCGTATTTTCAAATGACTGGATTTTAATTTCAAGATATTGGTTCTTTTTTCATCGTTATATACGTATACGATCTCGGCATTGAATAATCTGGCATTAGTTTACTGCAGTTTCTTCTTACAGCCATGCATTTTTTTTTCAATTTTGAATAGCAAAGTCTCCTCTTAACCATGTCAACCTTTGTACAATAATGTCAAGCAATTGCTCATCACAAAAATTTAATGCTTGCAATTTGTGATGAAATCACCAACCTTTATATGTGGGTTAATGTCACAAATTATAACATTAATTTTCAAATTTTGGAATAATGACATTTTGCAGAAAAAAGTATTTTCCAATTATTGAAAATAATGACAGTCCACCTACATCATCCTCCGCTGTTTTAACTGTATATAAACTTGTGGTGGTTATTGTTCTTAATAAAAGAGGCAAAGTAACATACTAACATCAAAGATCAATAGACAGTGGAAAATTCGTACAAGGTATTTACTCTTTCATTTTTATCATATAAATGTAAGCTTTGATTGCCATAAAAAATGAAATAAAACAAATATTAAAACTGACACCATGTACCTTCGTACACCGTTGCCAGTAACTGACACATATCTGGCTGTTTTAGTCAACTATAGAATCATATGAGGGTTAAATAATTCACTGTTTATTGTCAATGTCGGTAGAACTCCAATGATGATTCTACGAAACAAGAACATTCTATTAATTTTAGTTAAAATAATAAAATAGTTTTGGATCGTAAGTTCATATTTTTGTTTAGTTACCTTTGTATTACGTGATCATGCTATTGTCTGTTTTTCCTGGTTAAAAATTCGTATATACTTTCAATAACAGTTGCTTTAATAAGAATCACTTAATTTCCTATCATCAAACCAGCGCTGAAACCTATTCTTAAAGCACAAGTTTATTCTGTGACAGTCGATGGTTCAAAAAGGAAACATGTAGGACCAAATTTCATTAATAAGAAATATCATACTCAAAGTGTATAATAATTCAGACAGCTGTTTAAAGCAACTAGTATTTGAATATGAAAGAGTCAATAATATGTATTTCAGAACATGTTTAAACAATTTTACACATTCCAATAATATTGAAATTGTCTTCATAAACTGTTGGAGACAATGTCAAAACAATATTGAAAATTTGACATGGTCTTGTTAAATCAACATCTTACACTAATGGACGCTAAACATACTCAAAATATTTCGAAATTTATTAAAATTTCAATTTTGAGCTATCTTTAGTTATCAATAATTTGGTCACATGCTAAAAACAAGCCATTATATTGTCATATAACCGGTAAAACACACCCATGCATCTGTGATGTTGTGGTTTTTATGGTTATAGATTATGGAACTCACATTGGTGAACGGGTCAGTAGGAAATATTACTACCACTTATAATTAAGTAAAAAAAATACATGTAAACTTTTTTTTAATATAAACACGGGTAAAAAAATTTAATTATCAATAAGGGTATTTTTTTTTTTAATTGCCAATACCGGTAAACATCTATACTATTAAAGAAGACCTCATTTTGTGTGTCGCTTCTCTTCCTTTCACAATAAATTAATCATCATGCCCTTATGTCCTATAGGTACCATGCATAATCGCATTTGTCATCCATTCTTATGATTATTCAGTTTGGGTTATTTTGGGAGAAAAACGAAAAAAAATGCGTCCGGATATTGTTTCCGTCATCGGACGTACTTTTAAGTCATCGACAAGACTTCCGTTTAGGACTGTTTAAAATTACACGTAATTTTCATATTAAAGTACTTGGGGACAATTATTTTCGCGTTTTTCTGTACACCATGATCATACATATGCTATGAATAAAGTGTATTTGCTATTTACTATCAATTCCAAATCTACTATCCACGGCGGTCACTGATATATTATGTAACGGAGATGCTGAAATAATCTTCCTTGGCAAGAATATTGGATGACGCAAAATAAACACTATCACCCTGAAAAAGCGGAATAATGAACTGAATATTTATATGAAATTATTTTGTGATGATTTTGTAGACGTTTCATCCAACTTACTGGATATTTTATAGAAGAATTTGCCATTCTTATAGAGGAATTATACCTTTTAAAAGGAACTTGTGAAAATAATAGACTTATTATAATAAAACATTTGTTTTTTAGTCACAATTACACCAAGAGGAATTGAAATAGCTGTGCACTTATCGACTGTGAACTTTACTATACCTAACTAAGTGAATGCTTAGGCTTCATCACTCATGTATAAATTTATAGAGCCTATTTAATAAAGTATCTGAACATCTGTATTTGGTCTCAATTGCCAGAGCTCAGTCTCAGTGGAACGAACCTTTGTGCGGATGAGTCGGACGCGTTCAATCAACATGAGGGGACGGTGACGCATAGCCACCCGGCCCTCCTGTTACCATTATATAGAGAGTCTATATATAATATATATCAGTTACCGCCGTGGAAAGTCAACATGGAATTGATAGTAAATAGCAAATACACGTTATTTATAGTATATATGTATGTTCATAGTATACAGAAAACGCGAAAATAATTGAAATAAACAGAAAACAAAAATTAACGGACTTTGGAAAAAAAGGGGAGGGCTAAAACAATTGTCCCGTCCCCAAGTATAACTTTCCTGAAATTCTCCAGTCATAAAACCTTTTACAAAAATTCATCAATTAACAGTTTATATACTTTCAACTATACTCTTAATACCCGCGATTTCGCGGGTGTGTTCTAGTTTTTTTTTAAATTGCCATTCTGTTATCTAGCCGATTTTGACTAAATGGTGCTTGTCTTTCAATTTTTTTTTTATATTGCCGCTCTGTTATGCAACCGATTTTGACCAAGTGTTGGTTTATCTTTCAACATTATAGTGAAATCCTCCACCGCTACAAAACTATAAACTCATAGTACCCAGAAAGAACCGCCTACCTTTTGCAGAATACGGTGTTGATGAAAGATTTTAAATTGTTTCACTTTGATTAATTCACAAATTATATAGACTCTCATAGATAGACACCTGTCTATTATTGGAGACTGTATTGTGCCCTCTAGACGTATTTTGGTTATTTTCAATGTTAAGTAGCTGTCCTAAATGAGGAGCGAAAGATGCCAGAGGGACAGTCAAACTCATAGATCGAAAATAAACTGACAACGCCATGGCTAAAGAATAAAAAGACAAACAGACAAATAATAGTACACAAGACACAACATAGAAAACTAAAGACTAAGGAAGTGGATTGTAATTACGACATAAGGAACATATCTTATTGACAGAAACCCACATCAATTTTAATTTATATTAAGTATATGGGTATAGATAACGTAACCATTGAACAAATGTATATAATTTCCATACAGTGCAGTCCAGTGCATGGAATAGTTTACCGAAATAAAACCTCGTCTTCCAGCTTGTAAGTCAAATACAAGCTTGAAAATGCAGACCTGTCTCTTGTTAAGAATTATATACAACGCACCTTATGATAATTCCGTCAACAAAAACATAATGTTCATAGGAACTATCCAAGCCCCCAATATCTCTAATATGGATTACCTCCCTTATGAACACGTCAAGCCCCAATGTCTCTAATAAGGATTACCTCCCTTATGAACACTTCAAGTCCAATAGCTGAAATAAGGATTACCTCCCAATCTACATTTTTTCAACTTGTATTTTCAGAAGATGAAAACACTTCTAGTTTTGACGACACTTGTGATAGTAGGACACTGCCTACTGGAAGATATTTTGGGGAACGTACCGGAAAATAAAAGATCGGTAAGTCGCATACAGAAAACACGACCGATCAGTAGCATTCCGAAATCTAACAAATAAATCAGTAACAAACCGAAAACTAACAGATTGGTAAGTAGCACTCCAAAAAAAAGCCATCGATCAGTTACATACTGAAAACTAACAGAATAATCAGTTACAAATCGAAAACTAACAGATCGGTAAGTAACACACCAAAAACAAGCGATCTATCAGTTACATACTGCTAACAGATCGATAAGTAATAAACTGAAAACTCACAGATTGGTAGGTATCATTCTGAAATCGAACATATCGGTAGGTAACATTCTGAAAACGAACATATCGGTAAGTTTTACACAGAAAACCAGCAAATCGGTAAGTGACATACCGAAAACTAACAGATACCAAAAACAAAAGGTTGATCATTAGATAAGCGGTGCCGATTGAACAAAATACATATAATCGCTAGGAGTCCTTCAAGAATATGAAGTAGACCAACCGTCCAGAAAATCAAAGAAAAATGCAGCAATGAGAGACAAATTATTAGAAAAAGCATCTGCGATGAACACTCGTGCGAACTTAAACACGAGTGGTGTTCTCGGATATCATTAAACGGGTTTGGGCGCTAAATTAATGAAGTGTTATTCGGAAACAATATACTTCTTGAGAACTTTCAAACCAGCAATTTTAAGACACTGAATCCTAATGGGATGCAGTTTCCTAGAATTCTAATGGTAATGCTTTCCGCTTTTATGGCCATTAACCAGGGATCTTACGCTAATCGACTGACCGATACTACAACAATAAAGGGAACTTGGTAGAAAGGGGGTTGATGCCTTTTATGGCCATTAACCAGGGATCTTACGCTAATCGACTGACCGATACTACAACAATAAAGGGAACTTGGTAGAAAGGGGGTTGATGCCTTTTATGGCCATTAACCAGGGATCTTACGCTAATCGACTGACCGATACTACAACAATAAAGGGAACTTGGTAGAAAGGGGGTTGATGCCTTTTATGGCCATTAACCAGGGATCTTACGTTCATCGACTGACCGATACTACAACAATAAAGGGAACTTGGTGAAAGGGGGTTGATGCCTTTTATGGCCATTAACCAGGGATCTTACGCTAATCGACTGACCGATACTACAACAATAAAGGGAACTTGGTAGAAAGGGGGTTGATGCCTTTTATGGCCATTAACCAGGGATCTTACGTTCATCGACTGACCGATACTACAACAATAAAGGGAACTTGGTGAAAGGGGGTTGATGCCTTTTATGGCCATTAACAAGGGATCTTACGCTAATCGACTGACCGATACTACAACAATAAAGGGAACTTGGTAGAAAGGGGGTTGATGCCTTTAGAGACTATGGAAAATTTATATCAAATTTTATTAATATTTCTGGTGAATTAATTCTTCAAGTACGAACCTACAAAGTGTGTTTCTTTGGATTCGACCATCTTTGGTTGCAAATGGGTTTACATTAAGCATATAGGAAATTGTCTTTTCAACTGCCCAAATCTGCCAAGAAATACAACACGTATTGACAAAAGCAAAAATAATTTTTTGCCTAAATCTTTCCAGAATAAATCCGCACTAAGGTTTTCAAAATTGATGTTTACCTTTTCTTCTTAAACTTTTATGTGTTCTTCATATAATTGAAAATGCCCACATTTGTATTTGTATTATTGTTACAGGTCCTCTCGAGAAGAAGTTACGAAAATACACTCAACTTGGTGTTTTTAATGGCTGATGATAATAGGAATGGTCTTTTGTCAGCTGAAGAATTGGTTCAAGTTACAAAACCGAAAGACGGTTCGACACCAATAGAGAAGGCGAGAGAGACTGTTCGACTATGTGATACCAATGATGATGGCGAGTTAAGCAAAAAAGGTAATTCATCAATCTATGACACAGAAAAAGTTGTGGAATATAAGTTTTTTTGTATTAGTTATCTTCTTTAGTATCAAATCTTATCTCCCATACAACCAATACTTTTGTATTAAATTCGGATTGGCTGAAAATTCGACATTTTGTATAGACACTTGTCTATTGATGAAGACCGTTGACCTATTGACTTGTGTCGTTTGTTTGCTGTCTCAGTGATATTTATCTATTTTCTCCTTTTTTTGCATGTCTATTGTACTATTTCATAGATTTTTTGTTCAGAGAGAGGGAATAGAGAGAGTTTAAATAACTTCTCTCTCACATTTAATATTTTCTTTTTCAGAAATGCTGACATTCTTACATTCCCAATAGTTTGGACGATCGAGGAACGAATGACGTTAGTTATTGTTAAAGCTATATGATTTTTATTTCATATTAAAGATGATCACAAAATATAGGTGTTTTATAAAGTATAAACATCAATATAAAAAAGAAGATGTGGTATGATTGCCAATGCGACAACTCTTCAAAAGAGATCAAAATGACACAGAAATTAACAACTATAGGTCAAGTACGGCCTTCAACAATGAGCAAAGCCCATACCGCATAGTCAGATATACAAGACCCCGAAATGACAAATGTTAAACAATTCAAACGAGAAAACTAACGGCTTAATTTATGTACAAAATAATAATCGAAAAACAAATATGTTACACAGCAACAAACGACAACCACTGAATTACTGCTGGGACAGTGGTGTAACAACATGAGAAAAAAACTATAAAAATCAGTTGAAAAAGGCTTAACTCATCAGATGGATACAAATAGAAATACATCTATCAAAAACACAGAGTTGACGTGGACGGGTACTTGTACATCCAAACAGCAAAAAGACACTAAGTTCAGATCTGAGAGTACTCGCAGTTACTGACAGCTAGTTTAGAGCCAATAACAATAAATAAAAAAAGACTAACTTATCAATCAGTACACATCCACCATCCAATGGATTTAGTGTAAAGACGTCATAAACAGTCAGAGAAAAAATATGACCTTGTGCAATGCCAAGATACAGGTATCAACAGATTGTAGAGCCATGAATGTGCATATGCATATAAGAATAATATTTAGTTTGATTTAAATTAACTGATAACAAAATCAATATTAATACCAATAAAAACAATATTCAAAGATCTAATTACAGTGTTGAATTGGTAACCTTTTAGAATAAGTATATTAAAGGAAAAATAAAGAAAAGAAAAAGAACAGCATACAAAACACAAAATAAAAATCTAAAGACTAAGCAAGACAAACCCCACTAAAAGACGGGTTTGATCTCAGGTGCTCCGGAAGGGTAGGCAGATCTTGCTTCACATGTGGGACCCGTCGTGTTGATAATTTAAGTACAAACCCGGTGATAAGTTTCATTCGGTAGATGTCATTCGGGCAAAATAAGGACGTGATAGATTCACCGTCACTTATCTCTAAAAAACAATTCTATATACCTTAATATAAAACGAGGTACTTAACTCACATTTTTGAAAAATGTCACCGGTCGCGAACTTCCGTTATATTACGATTTCTCGGTTGTCTACCCCACTAAAACTTGTTATGCCGAAAATCTAAATTGATTTTATCTACACAATGGTGTATAACACGCCTACCTATGTTGTCTTTTTGTGAGCTATTGAAGTCTTCTATGAAAAGAAAAGTGGGTGATGTGGGGCAAAATATTTTACCCTGTATCGTAGGAAAAAACCCAATGAGTCCAAACACCTGACCCGACTACATACTTAAGTATAGCCTTACTGTGCGTTAAATTTTCAATCCTGTATTGTAGTTAACTAGAACCGTACATGTATACATATGTTCATTATGTTCACCAACCTTTACATCTAACTTTATATCAGAAATTATAACATCAATTGTCAGTTTTGCTTTAATAACATTCTATTAAATAGTCATTAAAAGTCAATTTACCATAAGAAATCATAAATAATCTCCAACGGTTTGAACTTTAAGTTGCAGACAGACAGTGACACATGTATAGCAAAGCTATCCAGTACATATTGGATTAATTCAAGCTATTTAGATTAGAGTCAACTAATGCAAATAACGTATCGACTGAGAGCTGTAAACGACATACGAGGTGCAGGTGATAGGATACTTTTGAAAAATGGAAAACCTTAACGATTGTCATGGATCCTAGTTTGAACCCAAATTAATGATTCCCGAAGATCGTCAAAAACAGAAAATAGAACGAAGCTATGTCAGAACCTTGTTAGGGCAGATTGAACAAAACTGCAAAACACATATGGTACCGCAGTTTTTTGAAAGAAAATTGGCACTTAAGGGTACTCTATGGTTATGGAAAATTTCGGAATAGTATGAATGAAGAACATCCCTTGCTTAATTTTGCACAGAAAATTTTGCTCATCACAACGAGTTTCCCCCAAATTTTCCGCTATTTCTACACCAATATCCAACATTCATTTCTTACTATTTAAATTTTTTTTTTCTAATTAACAGGCAGCAGAAAATTTTACTTCTGCCTTTTATCTTGGATGTAAAAAATAGGTGGCGCCCGTCATCTTTATTTACTTCCTTTTAACCAGTATATAAATATATAAGATGAGGAACACACTCAAAATGAAAGATCTCCTTCATACCTTGCCGTACAACTAGAAAGGTGCAATAGTGGTCGGTTCAAAACTTTATTTAACAACAAGAAAAGTAGAACAGGGAAAATGGAATACATTTATATATCAACGAGACAATAACCGGAGTAGTCCTTCATTATCTGAAGATTATATACTGTTTTGCGCTGCGTGGCCTATATATATATTAACAAAAACACAAAAATAATTGAAAGTGAATTTGGAGTGCGTAAAAAATTTTAAATTGTGATTAAAACTATGTACATAGGCTAATAATGAGTTAAAAATGAATTTGTGGAGAACAGTTGGTGTAAGCTGTTCTCTGAAAGTGTCGACTGTGGTTACAGCGACTGTATGGACTGGTAGTAAATTCCACTGAGTAATAGTGTACGGAAAAAATGAAAATTTATATGTATCTTTTTTGGTGGAAATGTGTCTGAAAGTGAAACTATGATTTTTGCGGGTTCTACTGTCTGATGGTATGAGAATAGCAGATGGGATTGCTACGATTTGATGTACTATTTTGTAGAACATTATCAATCTTGTGCGTAGTCTTCTTTCTTGTAGCGTGGGCCAGTTTAGTGAGTTTATCATGTTTGTATGACTACTGATGTTATGGTACCCGTTACAGACATATCTGGCAGCTCGTCTTTGGACCATCTCGATTTTAGAGGTTTGTTCAACTGTGTGAGGGTCCCATACTGAACATGAATATTCAAGGTTAGGACGAACTAGTGCCAGATATGCCTGGGTTTTGATGTTTCTGACATGATGTTTTTAAATTTCTTTTTAAGAAGCCCAAAGATTTGTTTCCATTAGCTATGATTTTGTCAGTATGTTTTGACCATTTTAAGTTTGCTTGTAGTGTAATGCCCAGATATTTAGCTGAAGAGACTAGTTCAAGTTTGTGATTGTGAAGGATAAAGTCATGTTTAAACTGTTTTTTCTTTTGTGATAATGTAAGGACTGTGCATTTGTCTGGATGGAAAGCCATCAACCAGTCTTGCTCCCATCTAGCAACTGCATCTAAATCTAATTGGAGTGCATCACAGTCACTTTGAGATTTGATGGTTTTGAAGATGATACTGTCATCGGTAAACAGTCTGAGCTTACTGTATTCTGGTAGGTCGTTGATGTATACCAAGAATAATACTGAGCCCAGAACTGTGCCTTGAGGGACACCTGAGGTGACTGAAGCCAGGTCAGATGACTCTCCACCCAAGACACCTGTTTGTGTTCTGTCATTTAAGAAGACTGAGTCCCAGTTTAGTGTTTCATTTGAATACCATATTAGTTCAGTTTATAGAGAAGTCTTTTATGAGGAACTTTGTCAAATGCTTTGGCAAAGTCCATTATAATTAAGTCTGTTTGTGTGTTGTTGTTGTTATTTGCTGCAAGCTCTTGGATGAATGAAATGAGTTGGGTTTCACATGATCGTGACTGACGGAAGGCATGCTGGAGGTCATACAGTATGTTGTTCTCTTCAAAGATGGTTGATGATGTGTTTGGTGATGATATGCTCCATAAGTTTACAGGAAATACATGTCAATGATATTGGGCGGTAATTTTCTGGCTTGTATTTTTCCCCTTTTTTAAATACTGGTGCTACATTGGCGTGTTTCCAGTCTGTTTGTGTTCAGTTTCAAGTGATGTTTTAAAGATTAGTGTAAGAATTGGAGCTGTTTGATCTTTGAGTTTTTTTAATATTCTGCCACTGATGTTATCAGGGCCAGTTGCCTTATGTGGGTTTATGTTGTGTAGAAGTTTCTTGACACCTGGTAGTGATATTTCTAGTGGTGTTATTGTGGGGTGTGAGCTTGGACCTTTGTCTGGAATGCTGTTATTTGATTCGGTTGTAAACACTGATTGGAACTGTGTGTTGAGAATGTCTGCCTTTCGCTTTGTGTCTGCTATTAACTGTCCTTCTTTTTTCAGTGGAGCTACACCTGTGTTATATGTGCGCATTGATTTTATAAAGGAAAACAGTTTTTTAGGTTTTGACTGTTGCATGTGACATCCATTTCCCCTAAACTAGTATACATTATTGTTATTGCCATTTGCATTCTCTATTTTTAAGAAAACCCTCTACCATTTCTCATTAAAATGAAACAAATCACTACAAAATTGCTCCCTAACATAAAAAAGTTGTGCATTTTCAAGGTAGGTTATAGTTTTACAGATCTTATTCGATTTTCATATTGGAATGAGATTTGATAGCATACACTTAGTTTTACCTACAAAATTCTTGTACATTTTACTAATAACTATTTTCAATATTGTTTATATCTTTCTTTCAATTAAAGAAATAAAACTTCTGATGAAAGATATAAGAAGATACATGTACCAAATGTT